TGGCCCTTACGCGCTCTCACTGTGGCCACATCGGTAGAAAAAATTACGCAAATTTGGCTGTGTAGGAGCTCTCGCAAGACTCACAGTATATTCTTATTGTACTAAATTGCTCAAATAAATCCTTCGTGTTTTCTGTACGTTTTGCATGCCATGCTCTGCGACTGTTGAGTTTCAGTGCTAAAATATGATTGATTATGTTACAGAGGCCTATTCGGTAATGTGCAGCCGACAGCACCAAATCCACCAGCGGCTCCAGGCACCTCACTTTTCTCATTTGGACAGCAACCCCAAGCAGCTGCTGCTCCGAAACTGTTTGAGCCACCAGCTTCCCTAACATCACCTCCTACAACATTTAATTTTGGTGGTGCTGCAACTTCGAATGGTGGCGTCACAGGATTTGTCTTTGGCTCCACTGCACCACCTACAAACTTCACGTTTGGTGCGCAGCAACCGGCTGGAGGTAAGTTATATTTTAAGCTTGGTTTCAGTATTGATTTCGTTTCTGCTGTTGCTCTGGATGAAATAACTGGAACTGTAGGGACAGCTTTTAACTCACAAAATGGCTCTTGAACTTCTAGTTGCCTTGACCAGTGTTGCTTCACGTGGTAGTCTATTGCCGCTGACCCCAACATTTTTTTCGTCTCCCCTCAAATTTGGATTATTAAGCCAGAATAAAATATGCTAAGTGTTTTTGTGTACCGGAAATTTGTTAAAATTGTTAAAAGTAAAATTCTAAAAAGAAAACTAAAAATCCTTCATTGAGTAAGATTTTTCCAACTTCTAAAACTAATATGAAATCACTGGTACAAGAAAAAGGTTTGTTTCGATAACTAAATGCGTTCTTTTATTTGCAGCTTCAACGGCTTTTAATTTTGCGCCGGCAGCACCTGCGCCTTCGTTTGGGTATGTTACATTACTTACCGTTATTGATTTTTTCCTTTTTTTGTTTATGTTAATATAAGTGTTTTGCTCCGCGCATGCATACTTGAGATTTTGGTTCAGCCATAATTTGCAGTCGGATTGTCAAGCTGTGCGGCTGGCAACGTTTTAGTTGCTTCGGTTTGTGCCATCTCACCTGATGGTCATCTTACTGGCAGTTCTGATGTTCGTTTCTCTGAAAAGA